TGATGCAGTTATACACGTACCAGCTAAGTCACCTGGCGAGGCAGCAGACACCTTAACGCAGGGGTAGGCAACTCCAGGCCTCGAGTGCCGGTGTCCTGCAGGTTTTAGATGTGTCCATAATCCATCACAGCTGATTTAAAGGGCTAAATGACTCCTCAGCATTTCTTGAAGTTCTCCAGAGGCCTGATAATGAACTAATCATTTGATTCAGGTGTGTTGACCCAGGGTGCGATCTAAAACCTGCAGGACACCGGCACTCGAGGCCTGGAGTTGCCTACCCCTGCCTTAACGGCACATCTAAATGATGTCTAACAATGGCTGGAACATAATCATCTTGTATTGAATAAAAAAACAAACAAACAGTTTCTATGTGTTTTTCTATTAGGAAACAAAGTTCATCTGATGATTTTAAAATCAAGTTAAGGAACGAAGAAATAAAGAAGGTCAAAGATTTTGAGTTTTTAGGAATAATTTTAGATTCACATCTTAAATTTGACAAGCATGTAAAGACAAACGATTTCTAAGACGGTCAAGGCTAATCTGAATTGATTTAAGTTAATTCGGCACTATACACCCACTTCAGCAGCTCAGTTATTTCTGCATGATATTCTCTCATTTTTCATATTGTATGACAGTTTGGACCCAAGCAGCACCATCTACACTTCAGCCTGTGGTGTCCTTATATAACCGATCTTTAAAAATAATGGATAAAAAATCTGTTCGTTGGCATCACTGTCACATTTTAAAGAATAACTATAATCTACTTAGTTTTAATCATTTGTGTTTTCTTAAATTAGTTTTTAAATGTATAAATAGGATGGCCCAGGAGTGTCTCAATAGATACATCCAGAGACAAGATAGTAATCGTATTACTAGGAGTAAGGTGAACGGCAACTGCAAGATATCATATCGCAGATCTACATTCGGTCAGTCAGCATTTTCCATAAAGGCCTGCCATCTGTGGAACATACAGATATCAGATCCTTTACATTGAAGGTTAAAGTCTGGTTAAAGGGAAATCAGAGACATAGTCATTTTAACTAATCATTTTTAATTTTATTTTAATTTATTGTCTATTAATTGTAATTATATTTATAATGTAGTTTGGATTTATGAAAATGTTTTATTGCAAAATGTATCTATTTTGATTGTAAACCCAAAAAAAGGACAATTGTTGAAAATTAGCATATAAACTATATATGCTAATTTTCACATAAGCTATAAACTTCTGTGCGTTACATCAGTTTCATGTTTTGTACTTGGACTATGTTAAACTGCACTGTCCCTTTAAAATAAATAAATTCAAATTCAAACTGCTTTAAACACAGATCCTAAGGATAAACTCATTGGGAGACCTTGAGCCCACAAATCATGTCAACACTCCCAACTTTACAGTGTTAAAAAACTATGGCTAGTTTCCTTCTTTATAACAACTGTGGGAGGTTTCCTGTATCGCACTCATCTGGATGATGGCGTCGGGAATTACTTCTCTTTGGTTGCCAGATGTTGAGATGGGGAGTTTTAGCAGATCAGTGTCTGCTGGGCTCAGCTCCACCAAACTGGACCTCTCAACTGTGCTAGCACTGTTGGGGCCTTTTGCACACACACACTTTATAACTTTATATCTTAATGTTTAGTCTTCTAATCCAAAAACAAAGGCTCCCATTAGCTTGGCCACATTTATTTTAAATGAATCCAAACCAAAACAACAAAATTCATCACTCCATTGAAGGCGTGTAATTTCCTGTGCTGGAAGACATCTTGTGGTGTCAGAAAAGATGCTACTGTGTTTCGTGAGCATAAAATTATTTACAAAGTAAAAAACTAAGCAGATGTTTGACACTAGTAACGCAGGGTTAAAAATGCTGGAACCTGGAAGGATGACAGTGAACCATCACACGCCAGAATCTTCAGTAAACATGATCAGTTAAACGTTTGAGGAAAATCAGACGATAACAAATCAACAGTAGAACTCACAGCTCTGTCTCAAAGAGAAAATAAAAGCATTTTCACACATAATGTGACAAAGAATGGCTAATGATAAAAAAAAATGGCTTCGACTTGTCAAGGAGCATAAAGACTGAACTCTGGAGTAATTCAGAAGGGTCACCAGGTCTGATGATTTACTGTCTGATGGGCATCCTTGGATAAGAAGAAGAACCACTGATGAAGTGATGCATCTATCACAGCTAGTAAGATATCAGTTTTTTTACACAGTGACTGGCCACCAGTCGACAGAGTAACCGTAACCCTGCTGACAATCTTTGAGACGTGCTGGAGAAACGTGAAGCAGTGATCTGACCCCTGCTACTATCAATACAAGCTCTCAGTGAAAAATGAAAGAAACACTGGACAGAATTAAATATTGTGACATTGCATGAGCTTATTTAAACAATGCCAACATGAATGCATGCCAATAAAATATCAATGCTTTTTTTTCTGGCCCAGCAGTGTATACGGCTCATGATAAAGCTCTGAGCCCTCACAGTGGACCTTTTAAACAGCATAAACATAAGTGTTTGCAGCAGAATTCAGAAGCTCCACATGATAGGATAAATGTCCTGCAGTTCATTATTGGTCACTAATCACTCTCAGGTATTGAGCTGACTCATAAATTTAGAGTTTTGGAAACAAACATAAAAAATGCTCGATCGGTTTGGTGCATGTAACGTAAAAAGGTTTCTCTGTCGTCCTCATTACTTTGCATCTGAAAAGGCAACCTCGCGCTCCCCGTGTGAAATCCACTGATACGGAGAACTTCTCTGGAAAAGTGTGTGTGAATCTTGGCCCTCTTATCGCCAAGATGAGGCCGAGTGAATGAAGAGCAACAAGTGTGTATGTGTGAGGATGTGTGCGTGCATTTGTGTGTCTTCGAGTCCAAGCTCAATGAACACAAACTAATCTGACCTGAATGTCTCATGCACACACACACACACACAAAACCAGGAGCACAATGTTGGTTTTGTTCTGTGGGAAAACTGATGAGGAAAGGAGTTAAGAGGAGGAGGGGAATACCGTTGCCATGGCTACAAGGACGGGGTCCCCGATGGAGAGCTAGGTTGACTCTCACTGGAAACAAATACATGCACATACACACACACACACTGGTGGGACCACCTTGTACTGCAGACAGGAAACTGTGAGGCCTGCTTCTTTGTCGATTGGTATAAAAGTAGTTACACGCACACACACACACACACACACTTCACACTTTGAAAGAGAAGTTTTGCCCACTTGTCGACAAGTAGCTCAGAGAAAAAAATGGAGGGAGGGTCTGCGGAGAGAGGAATGGATGGATGCAGAGAAGGAGAAATGAGGATAAGGTTAGACTTAGTTGGGAGTTTTTATCAGTGCGATCACGTCACAACCAAATGACCAAATGACCAGCGTTTTCCTTTTTTCCCTTTCAGCTTCTTTTCTTCTGCTTTTTTTGTCCGTCTGCTTTTGAATCGCTGAGAAAACGGAGCTCCACACTGCTTTTTCTCTCCTCTAAACTGTCACTTACCCACCAAAATACAACCCTGAATGGAAAGAGAGTTGCTGGCGTGATGCAACCATACATTCCTCGGGAGGCCGTGCTGGAGGGATTCGACATGCTTCAAACTAAGAGCTTTGTTGAATGTCCATCCATCGTACAATAATTTATAAAATGAACTTCATGTTCAAACTAGAGCTGGAACCCATAATCTCGCAAGGAAAGTGTTTATTTAGGACAATGAGCATAGACGTCTATAAAACTGTCTGCAACCAGGGGAGTCGCCCTCTGCTGGCCATCACAGAGAATGCAGGGTTAAGGATAGAAAGCAAGTTTAAGGCACTTTCTCGTTGGCTTCATTTTTCCAACCCAGATGTTTTATGTTGTCTGTGCTCTTAACACAGGAATTTTCTACATAAGATATTTAGGAATGTATCTGCTCTAATGGGAAAGCTAGCGCTAGCTGTCATTAGTCCACTGAAAGTCAAGTGAGTGACTTTCAGTTAGTTTCGATCATTCAAAACTAAAGTAAAAAACAGAAGTCCAAAACAGAGAAAAATAAAGATGTTTAACTTCATTGACAGCAGCTATTTACCCGTAAAATTCCCTTTATTGCCGTCTTATTAAACAGTAAGTGGCACCACCTAGTGGCAGTAGAGGGTACTACAGCAAACCTACAAAACATCTTCTGGCAGTTACACCATATCACAATTTTCCTCTGGATTAATCATTAATGTCTTTTTAATCATTAATTACCTTAACTGCTATAAATCTCCAATACCTCCAGTATGTCAGCCCTGTAATGTGTTGGGAGTTATAATGAGTGTTGACCACAAGTCATTTATTTTATCGTGGGAACTGTCTCAATGTACAAATACAGCAGCAGATACATTTCACATCAGTTGTGCCAACATCTGCTGTCTGACTGCTGTTTTCGGTTGTTTCTCTGTGGTCTGCAGCCTCAGAGCAGCCCACAGCCTTCAGTCTCACTGCAATCATGTTTGTCATAGAGCAGCTGCTCAAGTGACAAATTAGTCTGAATTTGACCCGAAAGCTGACCTAACACACACACACACACTAACTGACAGGACACACTGCCCCCTGCTGTCTCATCAGTAATACTGCAGCTGAATTTCACATCGATTTTCCACCAGATATACTGGTTTCTTCCAACATGTCACAGACAATACTACTCCCTGATTGGCTCAGTCAGTTCTGAATTTGACAGTTTGTTTATAGTCTGAAGCTCTCAGTCAACTGTGTAGTAAAAGTTTTTTAATTTTACAGTTACGCCGTACTTTGTACCTGTTTAGGCTAATAAATAATTACAAAATAAAGAAAAAAGTAATGCTTCCCTTAAAGCTCGATATTTAATTACCTTCGCTCAGACAATGTCTGATTGCACCGTGAGCAAACTCAAGGCAGACCTAGAGGATTACTTATTCTGTGGATACTTATTTATAGTTGGATCTATCTATCTACAAACAAATATAATAAAACCTGGTTAAAAAAAATAAGTAATGTATCACTTTTCGCCATAGTTTTTAATTAGTATCATACACAAGCATGTTTCTATTAAAACACATTATATCAACTTAATTAACCAATAATGTACAAACAGGTTCAAAATGACAGGCTGTCTCACTGTGATCATCCTGCATGTGCAAACTCTGACACACAAAACCACAGAATCAGCAGCATGAGCACAAAGAATCCAGTCAGCATCAGAGCAGAGACGCTTCGGGTTTTGTTCTTTAGAGTCGGCTTCACTTAAAACCAAAACCTCAGGGCATCGCTGAGTTTTAGTTTACTTTGTTTTGGTACGTTTCTCTTTCTTGAAGGTTACAATGTTAACTCTTAAAGTGGTTGAAGTGGTGTGAAAGCTGTTTCACTTATAATAAATCAATAAGTTATGAAAAAAATGTAAAATTATAAACCTGATGAAAAGGATTTCCAGTACTGGGTGCACACGTAATGACAAATTGAGAGTATCTGCAGTAATTTTTGAAAGATGAACAAAAAGCTTGGTTTGAAAAGTGCAACACTGTTACTATTTACATGTTTAGGGTGTGGATTTCTCAGGTTTTGCTGCTGATTTATGCAAAAATCTTGACAGCTTTCTGAACGTAAGCGCACAGGATGACCATGAAACATTTTACAACACATCCTGCACAATTGTTTTGCACATGCAGGATCACTGGTCTTCACTAGATTATCTGCCATATATAAAAAAACAAAAAAAGCAAAAATCAGGTCAAACTTTCTATCCCAGTGACCATATTCCAGTGTATTCACCTGTAGGAAAAGCACTGCAAGCTTTGTGTGATTCTCCTCAGTCATAAAAACACAATATTTAAGCACATGTCAATACTTTATTGCACTGTTTTACCTTCATTACCCCTTGTGCACTTGCATTACTTTTCTGATGCTAATACTCAAGTTGACACACTGGATTAAGGCCATTTTATGGTAAAGTTACACCAGAATATGCATTTACATCATCAGGTCCCACAGATATATAATTCCTGTCCTTAGCATGCAAACAGAAGAGGCCAGAGCCAATCAGAGCAGACCTGCAGGGGGATTTCAAGTTTCACACATTCAGAATAACAAGGACAAAAAAGAACCAACAGCTGTTGTTGAATGGTGCTGATCTGCCTTAATGGACTCTTGGCAGGCTGGTAAACTAGTCAAAGTGGCTGGTGAATGTCAGAGTTTACGAGCCGAGGTGGAACTGAAACGATGAATCTCCACTGTTCAGGTATAGACTGTCCATTTTCCCAAATAAAAAGTAAAAGACGGAGAGACTCTACTGTAAATTCCCCTCTGCAGATAAGTCTGTCTGATGGCTCCGATAACTAAACCGAAAGAAAAGAAGAAAAGACTTTGCTGGCTTGATCTCGAGTGGACAAAGTCAGAAACTGTTGTCTGGTTCAGAAAACACCAGAACCTGAAACCTGGAGCAGCTGGAGAGCAAACAGAGCTTTCTGAGGCTGAGGGAGATTCAGTTTTCTCTTTTCTAGCGCTGGTTGTGCTTACTATTGGTTGGTTATGAAAATACTGCACCTACTGGGGCTGCCAGCTCACCAACACAGCTCCTTCAGATCGCTGGCTCTGGGCGGTTGTTAAGAAATCAGCAGCTTTTCACTGTCGGGATAAAGAAGGCCAAACTGCAGATTTAGCGATACCACTGGTAATAATATCTGTATAACTTTAACCTCACATTCTTCTAAGTTTTGCATGGAGTTGCTTGGATCTTAAGCCTCCAGTGCGGAGCGCTTAGCTAATTTTCTCAGGGCTTTTGAACAAAGTTGCTAAAAACTAGAGTTCAGTCTTTGCTTTTTGGCGTGGGAGCATGTATCTTGCACCCTCTGACATTCAATCTCGATTTCCTGAGTCAGCATTTTTAAGAGTTCAGTGTCATACGTCTACCAAGCAAACCTCTCGGAAGCATACATGATCTGTGATCTGTGGAGTTCCTTGGAAGCACAATCTTTTATTGTTGGAACTTCCATTCAAGAGATTTTCAGCTGGGCCAACAGCATTCTTAACAATCACCATTTAAGGTGATATTTAAGACTGTAAATTGAATATTTTGAATTAAAACTGATGTTTGGACGAATCAAGCACTTTTAAGAGAACCACTTGACCTCCTGTGACTGCACTGCTACAAGATTAGTTTGTGTTGTTGGTTGTTAGCAGGGTATCTAAAAAAGGTTTGGCTGGATTTCCAAGAAAATGTTAGCAAAGTGGGCTGTTTGAATCCTGTTTTTTTCCCAATTTCAACAATATTTAACGAAAGTACCATATATGTTTGCGTCACAGGAACACAGGCTTTACCTAAAATCTTAAGGCAGACTAACCGTATTTGTCGCGACAGTGTAAAGCAGTCTGACCACATTTAAGCAAAGCAACCAAATTACAGAACAAACACGTAATGCTTCGTCCTTTTCCTGTCTGATTGGCTGCTGCCAGGACCAGGATGTCATGTGATCCAACAGGAGTTGACCAAAATGAAATCCAAATGAGACAAACGGGTGACGTGGCATGCCTAAACCATATTAATGTTAAGGGTGTTCCAGTGCTACGTTATGGAAACCATATTGGGAGAGAGACCTTCCAACCACCTTCTGTGACCTGACATAATTATCTGATAACTTGTTGTCAACACTGTGCCTAAAGGTTCAACTTTAGCCTGCAGGTCAAGTCCAGCTAACTGAGCATAAATATAAATTATACAAATAAGAGTAAAGTGATATCTGTGTAGCATCATACCAGCAACACCCAAAATAAAGTTTTCAATATATATACAAACGTTTGCTGTAGAGTTTATGTAGACGCTCACGGCTCCCAAGTGTCAAAATAATGATGTGTGCATTTATGTGTGCATGATTTGTAGGAAAAGCATCCATTTCAAGACTTAATATGCAAAACTATGACCAAAAAGACAAAAATATAACTATGCAAGTAAATGTGAAAGACTCGTTTCCAAAACGTGTGATCCAAACTCGGAAATAAAGAGTAAACTGAATTTTTAACTTTCTTAACCAGGTCCTGATTTTAGTTCATTTGTATAATGACTTAATTCTAATTATGAACACGATATTAAAAAAGTGAACAGGAATATTGATTTTAAAATAATAAAAACTGGCAATTATGTCCAGTTTCTGGTGAAAACTTTCGTTCAATTCTGTTTCTGTTCATTCGATGGAATTTGATCATTTTCAGACCTTTCTGTGCACAAAATGACAAATCATTTTTAATCCATATTTGCAGTCAGATGAACAAAAATGGGAGATACTTATGATGCCATCTTGTGGTGATTACAAATAACACGTCAAATCTGATGTGAGGCATTAATAAGGTGAATAAATATGTGTATAAAAACTTGTAAATTGAACAATCTGATCTGATACGTGAGGGTTTCTCCAAGTCAAGCAAACTACACAGTTTCATTTTGGCCAACATGATGTGATAGCTGCGTGTAATCACATGACCCCCGCTGTCCAATCAGCAGACATTTCAGAGCAGTAAACGCTAGTCTAGTTAGACAACCATATTCGACTTATGAAGTAAAAAAAAAAAGCAACAATAAAAAAAAAAAAGAAGCAAAAAAACAAATCAAAATAAAAAGCTTATCACAGAGACATGAACATAAACACTTCTTCAGTTAAAGTACCATTTCCTTAAGTCTGGACAGATCAGGTTATGTCACAATAAGAAGATTATTAACATTATTCTCATTATTAATATCTTACAAAAAACAAAATTAACAGTGCAATAAAAAGGTATTTAACCCCTCGCTCCGCAAGAGAGAGAGAGAGGGAGACGACGAGGGGCGGGGCTTGGTGACAGGGAAGGACAGAACGAAGGTAACATCCAAAAGAAAAGAACAGAGAGGGGATACAGTGGAGGAGAAGCAGTTTGCAACAGACGAAGGAGGAAGAAGAGGAGGTTCTCAGGATTATACGAAGGATGGAAGATATGGAGGTAGAACGGGAAAATGGGAGAAAGGCGAGAAGAAATAAATGATTTGTGGTGATGGCATTTGGAGGGGGCTGAAAAGGCTCATGGGAAATCTTTAGGGAAGATGGACACAACAGCCGCTCATTAACCAGCTAATAATGCTTAACATGTGTCTTTATGGCCATTAATCAAAAATAACCGCTTCTTCTGATCATTAAGACTAAAAATGGCTGAAAAACATTTGATTGTTTAAAATCAGGTAATGATGGCGGCTGTTGTGCGAATCTGTAAAGATGCACAGATACCACTTTTACCATGCAATCATGCACAGTACTTACAGGTTTTAATGTGTCTGCCTTCATACATGAACGATACAGGTCGCTACTCTACATAATGCTTCTTTGAATAATGCTTTGAAGAACCAGAAATGGACCATCTAGATCCTTTTGGGCTTGTGCTGATTTTGGCTGCATCAGTGCACACGGGGAAATTCTGTAGCCACGGCTTTGCTTTGGTTTCTTATGTGTTCGACCTGCTATGATACTTCATCAAAAAAACAAAGAGGTATCAGTGCATCCAAAGGTGTAGAGGGATCAGGTAACTGGGGTTAGGCGGTATTAAGAGGGGTAGATGACAGAGAGGATAGCTGGGGGGTATTTGGGGTAGGTGGGCTTGGCCTGTACTGTTGGGAATGTGTCATTTCTCAGGAACTCCTCTTAGTCCTGGAGTGTTGGATCAACCACTGAAGAGTGATGTCTGCAGAGAGAGATGTGATGTCAGCATTGCATAGAGGCGTGTGAACAGAAATCAGAGAAGAAGAAAAAAGTAAAGAGCAACTTTCAGTTTTAGCTCTTGGCTCGTTTCTTTAACATGTTTTTATACGTGTAAACACTAATTGAATTGGCCATGATGTAAGCTCAGACTGTTGATGGCTCAGCTCTTCTAAGCTGACAAATCTCATATACAGAGTGAGCTGGTTAAGCTGCCTCAGCCGGCCAGCTGCTCATCTGCAAGCCGCTTTACATCCCCAGTTCCTCCATTCAGGCCGTTGCCAGAAAGGGTGTGGATGTCCCATAAATGAGCCATACTGGTGAAAATAAATGACTGTGGATGGGACCATCAATCTTCTTTTGATTATAATGGTGTTTAATCTGAAGTTAAAGGGGGCAAACTTTGTACTGAATATGGTAATGTGCAAATATATATTATATTTGATGATAATATATTGGAGTCTTTGAACGCCTACAGCCTGAAGTCACCAGTGCTCTCTGAGTGCTGTTCACCAGTTTTCCTGTCTTGTCACTGATGTCATTGTTGCACAGTCGCTTTCTTCCTACTTGTGTTTTCTTTTGTTGTTCTGACTCCACCTTAGCCTGATAAACAGACTCATCATCAACTGCTAAATCATTTACAAAATGAGTAAGAAATAATTGGTTTCATGGTACTTCTCAGCACTTGATGTGTCGTAGTTAATAACTGAGATGTAAAAACTTGTGTCAGACATATTACAGGGATGCTGTGAGAAATGTGCTTTCATAAGAAGTCAAAGCTTTCTTTCTCTCACATTCACACAGTTGAGATGGGCTCCAGTGGCCCCGCGACCCTGAACTGGATAAACGTGAGAAGGGATTGATGGATGGATAAAATAAATATGAAGATCTATAATTAATATATTATATTCATTAATACTGACAGTTTTTCTATTTTTTTTGGTAATAATTGTCTATACAAACTCTTTCATAGTGCTTTTTTTCAATAGCCCGACAGCACTATGAAAGTAACTGCAACATCCTTTGATTTCCACATATATTCTTGTTAAATGATGAATGAAATTTACTTGTTCATTTAAAGTGACAAAATCAAAACATTTTTAACAACTTACCATCACAAGCTATTGTTTCTGTGGTTTACGCATGCATAGCACGAGTCGTAATGGAAACCAAAGTTAAGGATCTGCTATCTGCACTGTGTCCTGAACAAACCTCTTGTCTCTGTGGTCTCATTAATGTTTCTCAGGGACTTCACTCCGTCCAGCAGAGACAAAAGTTATCAGCCAAACACGCGTACACGTGTTTGTGCAATTTAACAGACACTGAGTGTTTTGCTGGTTGACTTTTAGGTTTATGCTGGTTTTAACTTATTTGCCAGAAACTTCAATTTGGCATGGAAATGTAATGATATGTTTGTTTTGTTTCCACAAAATAACAATACTGTCCTACGTAACGTAACTTTAGGGCTAATGCACAAAGAACATACATTTCTTTTAATTTATGAGCATGTGTGTGTGTTTGTGTTGTACCAATGTTGTCTTTCTCTTTGCAGGAGATGGAGTAGCAGCAGATCTCTCTGTCCTGGATTGCCGACAGGTTCCTGATCAGAAACAAACACAGACAAGGTCAAAGAAAAATGTACTCCATTCAGAAGGATTTTGAATTTAACTTCGTTTTTCGAGCTAGAATTCATCAAATATTGATGTATGAAAGTGTACAGAAATAGAAAAAATATGTGACGTCAAAAGGTTGTTTTGCCTTGAGAAAAAAATGTTTGCTCACTGGATGTTTTTTAGGCATTCAGTGAAAAAGTTAATTTTAGACACTGAGTGTGATGATACTACAGCCAATGCACCAAACGACTCCACAGGGGAACATCAGGTCTGAGTCAGAAGTGAGACTCGGCGTGTTGGCGTGGACTTACATCCTCTCTATGAGCTCCTTCTCATCCAAAGCTCCTGGTAGGTCTCTCTTATTCCCCAGAACCAAAACCTGGAGACGCAGGTGGAACAAAAATCAGCTGAACATATTGCAATATTTAGTTTTACTTGTTAAATGGCAGCTGTAAACAGCAGACTACCTGCGTAAATAAGGAAAAGGCCTGAGCTTTATCTAAGTCAAACAGTCAAACAGGTTATTTCTTAAATGTGCTCTCCCCTCATTTCCTCTAGTGGCTTCATAACTGCTCTTCTGTCTGTTTAGCTTCTGCTAGGTTCAGCTGCTTCCCATTTCATGTTGTGCATCAATGTCATGTGTCGCTATCAGCTTTGTGTTTGTGTAAGTCGGGCTCAGTGGGAAAGCTCGGCTCTGCTTGGGTCAGTTGGGTTTGTTGTTCTTACAGGAATCCCCTGCAGCTGCGGTTTGTCCAGCAGGTTGTGGAGTTCATTCTTGGAGGCTTCGATCTTCTCTGGGTCTGCTGCATCCACCATGTAACTGCAACAGGACAAAACAAAAAGCAAGACAAATTTAAGTGGGAAGGTCGAGGGCTGAAAAATAGTCAACTCAATATCGGGAGAAAACTTCTTGTTCCTCTAAGGTCCACTAGAGGAAAATCAAGGTCCAGAAAGAATAATTAGGGGCTTTGTTGTTTGTGCCTATAGCAGCCCTTAATGAAATTATTTGACATATATCATGACTTGATGTGAAGTTAAGCATCTAAAAATCTGTTCAGCAGTAATTCTATTATTTCAATAATCTGCTAATAATACAGGACAGCGGGCATCTCGGGCATCTTTGTGTTAAATGTGACAGTTTATGTATTGTTTGCATTAGCTGTTAACTAAGAACTCCATCGTCTCATCTAAACACGCTCACTAAAACACTCCAAAATGACAAAGGACTAATTGCTAAGACTGTCCATGGTTAATATACAGTATATGGAAAACCTGTGTAAAAAGTCATCAACTTGACAAATAAAATTTGCTTCACTTCACATTTGAAGATATCAAGGTTGATGAAAATGTTTGGGAGCCTTTCAGTATCACTGCTACTGCATCTCAGCTGCATTTGCAAACCAACGTTGGTGCTTCTTGTTACATAAATCTGACCCACATTCACTGCAGCGCTCCTGTCACATCTCAACAACACAACTGGGTTAATACGAGAAGCCTGCATTTCTAAAGATGCATTTCGAAGGGTTTTTCTAACATGTGTTCATTAATCTGACCACTCATACCCACAGCAGTTTTACAGCTCAGGGCTTGCACTTTTTCTTTTTACATTTAGGAGCTTCTATAGTCAGGAATATCTCAGTTAATGAAACCAGGACTTACACGATAGCGCTGACTCCTCGACAGTAACGCTCCCACATGCTCCTGAACCGAGGCTGACCGCCGATATCCCACAGCTACAAACACAAGGAAGAAGAAACTAAGTGAGAACTACAAATTTAACATAAACTCCAAATTAAAAGGCAAAAGCAACAATATTGATAAAAAGGTAAAAATAATGCCAATATTATTATTTTTGCTAAAATTGCTGTTTTTAAAGGCTTACTGGAATAGCTGAGACACATGTAGTGTATAATGCTAAGTACCAGAATGATTGCTATGATTTATAAATTGAGGACAACCTCCCCCCCTCCCCCCAACACAAACAACAAAAATCCCCAGCTGTTTAGTAAAATCTTTTTTAATGTAAATTATTTTTGGCATTGTAAACCACAGATTACCTTAAATATCTCATTTAATCCCTTATAATTCTAAATACATGTTTTATGGATTATTGTTTCAAATTAGTTTGAGAAAAAAAAGAAAAAGAATCCACAAAGCACACATGACAAAGGCAGCAAACGGAGCTACCGACCTTGATGGTGACGTTGCCTTTAGTGATCTTCCTCATGTTGAATCCGACTGTGGGAATCATGTCTTCACTGAACTGACCAGACTGAAAAAAAAAGAAACATACAGTTATACAAAGACTATATCATAAAAGGTGCAGAGAGTAACTCTGACATCATCCACTGGCTGGTAAAGTTCATTTGGAAAGTTTAGCTACTCACTTTGTGTGAATCAACCGTTCAGATAACCACAATAAAAATAAGACTTTTGGAAAAGACAAAAACAATAATAAGTTCTCACTAAAATAAAACATACAGGAAGTATCCTAAGTGTTACTTTTGTATTTTAACACTTAAGTTGAACCTATATATATGAAAAATAAGGATATCCACAGCTCAGAGCCAGCTACAGCAGCATGGCCATTATAAAGTTTAATCATTTATGTTGTTATGAAAACACCATTGAAGCTTGATTTTTGTTTTGATATGTTTTCAGTTATAGTTTCGTAGAAAGAAAAACTGAATCTGCAAAATATCGGCAGGTCACAGAAAAATCTGAAATCATGAAGGCCAAAAAGTTGGCTTCCAAAAAGTTGAACCCCCCCCCAAACAAACAAACATACCTAACACTAAACCTAAACAAAAACTACAGTGAAACTACATGGAACATCTATAAATTGTAAATATAAACTTAACAGAACATTGTTCTCCTAGTTTTTTAAGGGAAAGACGAGCATTTATGAGAAAAAAGCATATTTTATAAAGCATCTTCAGACTCAAAGATAATAGAAGTGAAAACCTGTGCAGATCTAATATCGGTCACACAGAAAACTGATGGTGAATCAATAAAAGAATATGAGACATAAGAATAATCAATAATGGTGTCAAAATCCATAAAAGACAACCAAGGAAACCTCATTGAGTTAAGGACAATATATGTTAGTGGGTCACTCAATCATTAACTATGTTACTGGGCAGCACAGGAGGCTTATGAGGTATGACAAGGGGGTGACTAGTGTGTGACAGGGTAGGTCACTGACATGAGCTGGGCAGGGTCTGGTTGAGCTGGGGGGGGGCGCCCATCATCACGAGACATGAAAGTCTCAACAGCGGCCCTGATAACAGGACTAAGTCCAGTCCCAAAGGGTGGCCTTCACTTCTGTCCAAAGCCCACCGGTGCAAATGTAAAAGCAGTTGTCATAAATTATCGCTCGATCATGGGCTTCATGCGAAGCCTTCGCAGCTATTATCACGGGGGGATGAAGTCGGGCTGCAGCTCTGTGCAGAAACTGATTTAACAGCCACCTTATCGACTCCTGTTGGAGACACGCTGACCTCACCGCTGCAGGACAACAATGGATGCACCCAGATGCTAACTGACAGCTGGCACATCTGCTAGCAGTTAAAAATTAGCCTTACCGCTATCACATTAACGAAGGTCGTCTTCCCCGAGTACTGCAGCCCAACTAGGGTCAGCTCCATCTCCTCCTTCCAGAAGAGCGCCTTGAACCAGTCCAGCAGCTTGTTGATAAGGGCTATCATCTTTGTCTTCTGCTCCTAATGCTAATGCTAGCTGCGACTGATGCTGCTACGTCTTGATGGCTATGCTAGCTTGTTAGCTGGCTGGCTAACGCCCCGACAGTTCTGGTGTTTTGGAGGCTGACAGTCACTATGACAACCGCGGACGGCACCAGGAGAACCAAACACACCGGTAGGCTTAGCATGTACCGGGGCACGGGTTTAATCAATCGGTGTTTTCAGCCTCGGACGTCTGCTGTGGTGTTTACTAGCTACGCCTTTTACTCACGGCTATGTCAAATACGAAAGTAACGCAGCTCATCACATCCGGTGTGGCACCCTTCAAAATAAAACAGTACACGAAAAACGTATGTTCAAACCTTAAATTAAACAAACGTTTAGCGTGGGCACGTATACATGTATACAAGAAGGTCTCTACAGTAAATAAAATTAAAGCTGCTTTCTGTCTACAGTTTTAATTTTCATTAGGTACGTTTAAATTGTTAGTTAATGTGTTGGGAGGGGGGGAGGGGGGGTTATCGGAGCTGCTTCCTGTTTGGGTGGGGCTGATACATGAAGAAGAAAGCAAAGCAAAGAGGAGTCAGACGTATGTATGAGTGAAACACTGCCCTCCTTCGGCTGTTCACGCTAAAAAAAAATACACAGATTTTTCTCCTTTTTTTCTGGTTTAAACTTCACAATAATGGAAGTTTATCATGTTAGAAAAACACACATTCTCATTTTAAAAAAGTTTGCTTTGCTATATAATTATTTAACTTGGAGCACTTTCTTTAAATTAATTCATAAAGGACTGACTCGGGAATGGCACTAGGGCCACCACTAGGGGACACCGTGAGGTGTGTCATTCGTGAAACACATTTGGCAGTAAAGGGAAGTAAATATTGTAATATCTTATCAATGACGAATAACGAGTTATTTCAGATCAAATTTTAAGGCACATCTCTAGAAATGAATTTCTGCAAACCAGATATATGTATTTTATTGTATATGTTTTTCTTATAGTTTTATGTGCCCTCGTGCCTTTACATTAACTTTCTATATGTCCTGTTCTGGCCTGCTGACTCTACAGTGGCTGCTAAAAAAAGAAGAAGCACATCCTAAGCACGTCCTGAGAGTTCTCAGGAAGAAAACCCTGAGTCAAAAGCTGCTGACCTTTTACATCCCCTCTATAAAGAAGACTGTCGGCTGCTCTCTGCCCTCCCAGCAGGGCTTGTACACCTTTGCTGCCTCGCAAAGGCCAAAAATGTTTAAAAGGACCCCTTGCATCCTCAGTTTAACCTGTTTCATCTCTTGCCCTCTGGCAGCTGCTACGGGGCCATCTAATTAAGGACAACAGGTTTCAACATTTTTTTTTATCTAAGATGTATAACAATGATGGGCCTCAGCAGACATCGATGATCCGTGTCTCTCTCTTCTTCTGACCTACCTCTCTGTCAGCTTCTCTCGTCCATCTCTCTCTCTCATTGCTCTGTGTTAAATCATATAAATATGATTTAATGTGTTTTGTGCAATAACTTTCACACAATGTACAAGTTATTGCACATTATGTGCGAGGACAGTCACCACTATGAAATAAATGTTTTTGTTTCTGGAATAATTAAAGCTAATATGAAGCACTTACTCACTGTGCATGTCTGCATTATTAGCAATTTTCTTTGCAATATTCACGCTATTGATAATTGATTGTGCAATAAATACATTATTAGTAACACTTTAAACATTCATCTTTTGCACATTTACTGTTGAAATGATCGTATGTTTCCTTTCTTGCATGTGAGATCGTAGGCTCTTAGTTAGAATTCCAGTAATATGAAGCCATTCATCTTAGAGTTCAGCCTGAACCTGGAATGGACCCGTGATTCTGATTTTGAATGGACAGCAACACCAACGGAAAATCATTTCTGATGTCAGGAGGTGCGCTTTTTGAACAGAAGAATGTTACATCTTTTAATATTTTTGCTCGAAGGGCTGAAGAAGCATTTTTCTTCAGCATACCACCCTCATCTCTGGACACAAGGGTCCTTACATGTTTACCTGCTGTCCAGATATTTCCATAGGGTGTACTTACTTCTTCACAGGACTTTATTGGAAGCTTAAAACAAAATTGAATGCAGAGCTGGTCGGCTGAATGTGTCCTTTAAAAATTGCTGAGTGAAAAAGTATTTATATTCATAATTTATTGATCTGATTGTTTTATACACATTAGTCTCTGAAGGAGATCAAAAAACAGCAGATTTCAACAAGGCTCAAGAGGTGTTTTTGTTTCAGAAATTAACAGAATGGGTCAAATAATAAGAGAGAAACATGGTGATCAAATGATTTCTGATTGTCAAACATGCTCACTGCTGATGTGACAAACTGTCCTGGTCGCATTTCATGAAGAGATCTATGTGATTTGTTTTGTTACCCTCAAATGTTCTGACTATTAAAACATGTCTTCATACTTAGCAGCCGTATTTAGAGTTAAACAAATAAATGTGTGTGGTAAATAGCTGCTCGAAAAATACCACAGCCAAGCCAATGAATATTCCTGCCTTCTTTTATTTAATTAGTCTGATTCAGTCTCAGTCTGTCATGAACATGATGCTTTTGATCTTCTAATTATTCCTATTCTCTGCTTGTTCAGTCAAATTGGAGCCAAACAGCAGTTCTTTGGGGCCCCTGTAGGATCCTCCTCGTTCCCCCAGCCGTCCCCCTGCTGGTGCATCAGTTCTGCTGCTGCTGGCGTCTTTCTCCTTGCTTCTCCTGGACTTCTCTGAAGACACTGCTGGTTATCCAGGTTCTATGAGATCTTCCTGTTCTGTTTGCTGTGTAGCTCGAGGTTCTGCAGCTGTATGCTGACCTGGTCCTCTGGGTTCTGCTGGCTCTGAGGCAGTGTGGCAGGCTGGTTCTGTAAATATTCAGAATTGGTACACTGTTTACAACCTCAAACCAAAAATTACAGACGCAGCTGTCCTCTGATGGCTGCTGTGGTTCAGGTGATTAAGGTGCGGCTGATGTTACATGTTTCATTGCTAACACGCAAACTGTTGTTTATTTGGATTCAGGTCCAACCACATCATCCTGCCACCGCAGACATGCACCACAGCACCAACTGTTGATGAAAACAGTCCCCACCAAGTTCTAACTATTTTGGTGCAAAGCGCTGTGCAGCAATGACTGCGTATATTAACACTAGGCAGCAACCTGTGGCTGCAGCGCCAATAATGGCCACTCGAGGCTCTAACAGTGTGCCAATCCCCACAGACTGTATGAACAGAGTCAGTGTGGAAGTGCCTTAAAGCTGCATTTCTGGTTGTTTACAAGACTATGGCTCCCTTTGCACTTACTGAATACAGCTCAGTACAACTTATCATGTAATTTGTGGTAACAATTACACTTAAAAACAGGCTAAAGTAGGGTGTGCTCACAGGCTTGTGATGGACAAGCCTGTGAGCCTATAGTGTCCCTCAGTATCATGCTTAGATTCATGACACTCCCCAGGTCTAGTTTAAATAACTGTGCCTTTGCACCCTGAACAATTTCTAAATTAACTTTCCAATCTAACTTTAGCTTCTCATTTAGCTCTTCACCCTCCCATCACCTTTACCTTCACATTTGTCTCTAAAAACCCACCGTTGTGCTGCCCAAAACACAGAGGCCTTTAACGACATCACACTACAACTAGTGGGTCACACCGCCATGATTGACTCCATCTTTTATATACAGTCTATGATTTGTCGCATAGGGCAGCGGTCTCCAACCTTTTTTG